ATCAACCTCTGCCCCCAAAGATAAAAATAACTTTGTAACTCGAGCTCTGGAGGCCATGCATGAGCTCCAGCTAAAATAAGAAGAAAGACACCAAAAATTTCAAATGAATGTTCACGTTCCACTAAGATGAACATATAGCAGTAAACATTTTAGCATAACATTAAACATTTGCATAAAAACCATATCCTAGCATTGTTTATTTATGATAAGCCTCAGAATGGGGAGTTAAGTTTCAAGCAAACCAGCAGCTGTTTAATTTCCACCAACCAAATAATGACAGGAAGCAGCTGCCTTCTTGATTATTATACAACTTGAGAAACTCAGAAGAAACCCGGAAGCTTCTGAGAAATCATTGAAAGATTTCTCACATTTCTGACGCCTAAGCTTTCCTCAAGAAACATTGCTGAATGAAATAGTGCTTGGGGAATCGATTAGCACGACGACTTCCCCACCCAAATCATCATCACTTGAATCATCTCCCTCAACATTTCTTTGTCTCCTTCTCACAGGCCGCAGAGGCAATGGTGCTATCCTGAATAACTGTCTGTTACCAAGCCTCATGTTCGCACTATTTCCTTCAGATTGTACGGATAAAAGAGGACAAACATTTGTCGTCGTCTCAGCGGGTATATGAGGATACGACAGACTATGGTTTTGTCTGCTTTGCGAAGATCTGTAGAAGCTTCTGAAATCCCTTAGCCCGTCATTCATCTGTTATTCAAGATTCAGTGCAAGAATGTGCTGAAAATTTTTGGTAATTGAGAAACATGAAATTAATAGTTTGTTTACAATCACTTTACTTTTTTGTTTTTTTTGTTTTTGCTTTTATTTTAAAAACATATTTGTTTAATAATTTTTTTTTTGTGCATGTTTTTATCTTTTGTTTTTAAACAAATTAATTCTTTTTTAAAACACTCGAAAATATCTAAATTTTTTTTTTGAATGCTTTTAAAAACAACTAAACATGTATATCATATCAAACATATTTCATTTCAAGTAAAAATATAACCAAAATAAAAAACAAAAAAAGAAAAAAGAAGTGATCCCAAACAGCCCCCGAGGGATGAATAATCACAATTTTATAATGTACATACCATGGTGCCATAGATGCTCAGTTCCATTGCTCTAGCTGAGAAGGTAGTTGGTGGTGCGTCGGTCACGTTAGAGTTCCTCGCTGTAAAGAAATTCTCAGGCCAACTCATCAGGCCTTCATGCTCCCTGCCAGAGGCCCGAGGTTGTTCAATGGACAGTGAGAGCCTTGAAGAAGTCCGCTTTTGATAAAAACCGTCCAATTCAGCAGCACCGAGGTCAAAAAAGATAACTCGGGCCCTTGTATCAACATGATAACAGGAGCCAAAATGGCAAGAGCTTGCGTTCTCAAAACCTGCATTTATTTGGTAATATTTAGATTGAAGAAATGTGATGTTGCAGAGATAGGGTTCTAATTCTTGCTTGTATAAATTTATGTTTTGTTCTGTCTTTATTTGTATACAATTGGCATCAAATTAATCGTCAAGGCTTAAAATGTCATGCGGCATTTATGGCTTAGTTATTTTTCTTGATTTTTGAAGAATGGTTTACCATTTGTGATATGACCATTATTGTAACTAGTGACTAGGCTTAATATTTAAGAAGGTTATACCATAAAATCTTGAGTTCTAGGATTAAGAGCATATAGTCGGCGATTCTAAGATTTAAGAATTTAGCTCCAAGATTTAACTAAGCAAGCGATTTGAGGAATTAACATCAACGGTATCAGATACTAATTGTCGACCATAAAATTAATAATAATAATAATATTATTATTAATTAATTAATCCAAAACCTCAACTGCTCCCAACTGTTGAAAAGGGGCTTTGTCTAATAACCATTCCCCCTCCTCCTTATTCCATACAGACGGCGTATGCAGAAATGCATGTGCCGACCGATCTCCACCGTTGATCAGAGTTTGGATCAAATTTTTATTTTTATTTTTTTTTACAAAAATTGGGCCTACCGAAATACAACTTTGCTCTGATCAACTGGGGAAATCGAACGACGCATGCATTTCTGCATACGCCGTCCGTATGTAATAATTTTTTCCTTCTGAACAGATATGAAGCCTCATTTTCACAAAGCCTTTCCCTTGTCTTCATTACATCTTCGCTCGCAAAACCCTCGCCTTCTTCTGTTGTCGTCTTCGAGAGAGACACCCGCGATCAAGATTAGTGAAGAAAATAAGAACGAGATTGTGGCATAAAAAGACCTCCAAAACTCCTATTATTCTCGTTTGTCGCCCGCTTTGGTCACACCAAAAGCACAAATCTTTCCTAAGTTAGGGCTTTCACCTAGCCGGCGACGACAACTGATGACTACGTTGTCAACCAGAGGAGGCAAGATGCTCAACAAGGGCAACGCAGCATGATGGAGTATTGGCGCCAAGCTTCGAGCAGTTCATTGCAAAAAAGTAGTAAGGAGCAAAGACTCATAAAAATAAAAAATAAAAATATTTTTGCTAACATTTAAAGGAGCAACTTATGTCTTTTGATGTAACCAAAGCGGGGTGTAGGAGTTATGAGGTTAGCAGAAGTTTTGGGGGAGAGAGGTTCATGGCTGCAACAGGTTTAGGGGGAGAGGTTCATGGCTGCAGCAGGTAAGTGCGGAGATTCACGACTACAACAGGCATGCGGGAAGGAATAAAGGATGCAGTAATCAGCAGGGACTTGGAGGCTTCAGCGACATAGCAGGAAGGGGATTTTGTGCTTCAAGGCTGGGCGGAGAGGGTGAGGGTGCAGGTTGCAACCAGGGAAGCAGGAAAGAAAAGTGGGCGAAGGGAAGTTAGGGGAGGATAAGTTTTCCCGCAGGATTGAGTTACAACTGAATCACCCCTTGAACCTTTGGAGAAGATCACCACTTCGGACGAGTTATAGTTGGAGCACCTCCTCGCCATCGGATATAGGCCTAGAAGAGAAGAGGGGACGCCGATGATTGTCCCTGACATAAATTTGAAATAAAACTCACAAAACATAACCCTAATTAAACAAACACATAAAAATGGAGAGAATATAAGGGAAACTAAAAAGAAATGGGTAAGCAATGACGACAATTCTAGCCCCACCACCTAAGGAAGTCGGTCGATCCAGCAGGAGGCTGGGCCAAAACAACAACTGGTCGGTTTAGCCAGCTCCTCCTAGCTGGTTCATCCGACTCCTCCCAGCTACACTTCAATAGATTTATTATTTACATGTTAAATTTAAGTGCATTTGATTCAAGCTTAAAAGTTCCACTTTTGGATCGAAGAAAGAGTGTAAACATTAAAAAG